AAGAATGGGGGGAAGGGGATGGGGGCGATGCAGGGCTTGACCCTGGCTGAGATAGAATCATAGAATCATTTAGGTTGGAAAAGACCTTGAAGATCATCCAGGCCAACCATTAACCTACACTACCAAGTCTACTCTAAGCCAATCAAGGGTAGACTAGACTAAACCATGTCCCGAAGTGCCACATCTACCCATTTTTTGAACACAATGAGATGCACTGATGTCGGTGGTTTGGGGGGGTTGTTTTTTAGCAGGGACCCCAAAGAGAAGCCAAAGGAAGCACTGGCAGCCACCAGAACACGGGGGGACATTTCTTTATTGGACTCGGCACGGGCCTGGGGGACGCGCAGTGGCTACTGGCACCTCTACGGACATGAGGGGTGCATCTCGTGGGGGGCAGTGAGGAGAGACCCCCCCCGTGTCCATCTGCACCCCAAGCCCCATCCTGCCAGGTAGGACGCCTGCATCCAACGCAGACGCTGGCTGGGATAAATGAGGATTTTTCCAGCCCAGGATGGTGGAGAGAAGGTGGTAGGGAATGGAGGGGCTGGGGGACCACCACGGCCTCTGTTCCCTATGAAGAAATTAAGGAAAGATTAAAAAAAGGACCATGAACACTGATTTTTCCAACTGCCAGCAAGAGTTGCAGGGCAGGAGGTGGTCAGGATGGGGGATATGCAAGATTTGGGGTGGCCATTGCAATGGGTGGGGTGGACCCCTTGGTCTGGGGCTTTCCGTGGACATGGGGTTGGGAGCAAAGCCACATCCTAGTGAGTTACCTGTGGGATGGGGTTGGAGGTGGTGGTCATGGAGGGGGTCACTTCTCCGTCATCATCCTCACGAACTCCTCGTAGTTGACCTGCCCGTCATTGTTGCAGTCGGCCTCCTTGATCATCTCATCCACCTCCTCATCCGTCAACTTCTCACCCAGGTTGGTCATGACGTGCCGCAGCTCCGCCGCGCTGATGTAGCCATTGCCGTCCTTATCGAAGACGCGGAAAGCCTCGCGGATCTCCTCCTCGCTGTCTGTGTCCCTCATCTTCCTCGCCATCAGCGAGAGGAACTCGGGGAAGTCGATGGTGCCGCTGCCGTCGGCATCCACCTCCCCCACCATGTCCTGCAGCTCTGCTTCGGTGGGGTTTTGCCCCAACGAGCGCATGACGGTGCCCAACTCCTTCGTGGTGATGCAACCGTCTCCATCCCGGTCGAAAAGGGAAAAAG